GCCAAAGTGCTTGCTCATAGGGGGTCATATGATTGTTGGGTTTTTTTCTCTGTATCTACTGTACAATATAAAGTGCCTTGAGGTGACTTTTGTTGTGATTTGGCGCTATATAAATAAATTTGAATTGAATTGAATGTTTTAGTCAGCCAAGAGAGATCAAAAACATTAAATTTAGACTGTATTGGCTATGGCCGGTGTGTTTGTCTGGACTGGATCGGCCCTTGAGTTTTTTCCCCATCTGTGGAATGCTGCCAGTCTACTGTTTACCTCAGCTGTCAACATGGGTGAAAAGCATGCACTTTTACTTACTCTGGAAGAGGCTATAAAACTTTGTGAGGACTGTGATACGGGTCAGTAATTCAGAGACGCTAATCTGACCGATGAAAGCTGAACTGTCCGTAGTGCTGCTGATTTTGCTACTGTTAACTGCTGTTAACCCCTGTTAGCTGTTGTTAGCTGCTGTTCCCTAGCATTAGTGATACTTTCTTTGAAGTGGATGTAACATCGTTATTTTAGTTTAGTTTTAGCTAATGATAATAAACCTGTTAATTATACACTATTTTTATTTGTGAGTACTGTACGTTTACCGTGGGAGCCTATGGAGACTGTGCCTCCAGCAGCCAGTAGAAAAACTCTTTTTGGTCCCTTTATATAATTTACTTCTTTAAAACAATTGTTCCAGGTTAGATTTTTGTTTGGGAACTCAGCCTTCAATTTTTATTGAGGCTTCATGGCTTTGGCGCTTTGACTAATTAAAGCTATTGTGTCTCCTAGGACTGACCCGTGCTAACTGGTTTGAGTTTAAGCCTTCTATAAAAATAAATTAGCTGATTAATATCATGAGACATCACTGCACTAATTAGGAGACATGTGTCTGTGAGTTGCACCCTTATAGTTTATGGATTCTAACCAAGCTTGCTGCCATTCGGTTGGTAACTAAGCGCTTTGCCTTCTTGTCGAAATATGGCCACTGACTCAAAATGATGTCATAGTATACATAGTCTATGGTTAGGACCTGGTCAGCATTAGGATACAGTCACTTCAGTTATGCTAAAATAGCAGTTACACACTTGTGGGAACAGAACATTACCTTCTGACCTAAAAATGACTTCACTGTCTGTAGATTTCTATTGTGCAGCGTAGCTCGGCATGTATAAATAGCACAGCTGAAACAAAATGACAGTTGCTGTATCACATTTCATTTCAAATGTTGAGTACAAATCTGCTGCAAGCCCTCGTCTTTCAGAGGCAAATTGGTTTTCCTGTATGATGCTGTGAGATATTGAAATGTCTGGAGAGAAAAGCTGCAGCGATATACACTAAAAATTACTTGTCGCCATAGCTACCACCCACTAATCCCTGCTGAAAGCCCAGAAAGGATCAGCAGAGCCCGACATTGTCCTTTGATTGACAGAAGACGTACATGAATCTGTAGCATACATTGTGTGACTCCCAGCGATGTATTGTTTTAAATTAGCATGCTGTAGCAGCACATGTGTGTGAAGAAGCTGTTGTTCCTCTTTAAGGGTGACATATTTACCCCGTGTCAGAGAAAGGTGTGTCTTTTTGCCACTCAGCACTAACTGAATGCAATAATTACAGGTTGCAAAAAGGAGGAATAGACATATTACAGAAAAAGATGAACAGAGGATGTAAACAAACTCTCGGCTAGGTGCACACAGCAACTCAACAGTCAGGTGCAGAAAGTACTAAAGTTGCTGTCACACCCATCAATCAGTGAAACCTGCTTCATCCTCCGCATGGAGGGACCACAGCTAACAGTGTGAGAGAGACAGGGTGAAAGGTTTACTTATTACAGATATTCTTAGACTTTGCTTGAGAAGGTTCTGGTTTCTCACCAGATCTCAATCCATCAGAGCACCTTTGAGATGTGGGAGCCAACAAATCACATCAACGTGGACCAAAATCTTCATGAAGAAGAATTACTCTAAGGAAGTTCTGGAGTCAAAAAGGGTCCAACGCAGCGCTAGGTGTACACAACAAATTTTCCTTTGGATATATGTGCACACTTTGAAAACACTGGCTTCTCAGACAGTTATGAACCGTTTCATTTGCTAAGTGACGCAATACGATTGGCTGATTAGAAGTAATTCACTCCTTGCAGCCAGGGGCCATCTTTAGCATCTCAAAAACCCTCCAGTCAATTTGTTGTTGTTACCTGGGGAAAAGGTGGGCAGGGACAATCTGAAATGATTAAATCTGATTGGCAGATTAATGCATATTACTGAGAATGAGTTAATCTGTTATGCCCGGCAGCTTGGAGTTTCTTCCACTGATGGCACGGAGATACATCCCACGGGTCCACTTACACACTCAAAACATCCTTCTTTCCTCCCATTCCTGTGACGTGCTCATGGTGCAGATGTAAATACAGCTGCAGTCATGGTACTCAGCATCTAGGTAGCATCTTTTCAAACACTGACTGCTGATTCATCTCATCCAAGTCAGTTTTGTTGTCAATACACTGACAGTCGGGTACACAGAATATAAGCTGGTCTCCCAGCTGTTGCATAGGATTTATGATGTCCAGTACACACAGTGAGTCTTGTGCAGCTCTAACTGCTGTTTTGGCGATGGCAGTTCACTTAACCAACATGAGTGCCAATAATAACAAAAAAAAGAATAGCCTTAAAGAATAGATAAATCCTTTTGTGGTGCCACTATCGCTAAGAACTAAACTTAACCTTTAAAATGGATTACCATTTTAATAAAAAATCATTAAAAAAAGTGGCAGAACAGCACGCTGGTGTAGTGCCTCAATTGTCAGGTGGGAGATCAATTTCATCCAGCCGCTCGGTGATGGGCGTGCTGAACAGAGCTGACTTCCTGAAGGGTCCCTTCGAGCTCCGGGCGGCAGTCACACCCTGTGACACAAAAATACACTATGACTTGGTGATATGGCCTAAAATCCATATCGCGGTATAATTTGAAGCACGTGCGGTAACGATACATATCGCGATATATTCTTTTCTTCCGTATAACGTATTTTCCACACTATAAGGCACACTTAAAATCCTTTAATTTTCTCAAAAATCGAGAGTGTGCCTTATGTATGAATTCTGGTTGTGCTTACTGACCTCGAACTGATTTTGGCGTGCAGAAATCTGTTAAAAAATATTTTAGTACAACTTTGTTAAGCCACACTGCTTGATGGATTGTCAGAGCATTACGGCTGCCGTAGTAGGAGCTTCGCGGAGTAATCTGGGTCCAAAACTCCATCCAGTTCAGGTCCCAAACGAACACTGAGAGTTAAAAACGGTCCAAATTCTTTCATCTTTAATTAAATCATCAGTGATGCTGCTTTACCAGGTGTAACAATTAAGTTTAACATCCAGGCATCCATGAAAACAGAATTTATTAAATTTAACGGAGTTAGAAGTTAACAGGAAGTTAGCTCGCAAGTTTCCACCTAAACATTTCATACCATGTTCTGACTGAGAGATTTTTGAAACTAATTCAAACGTACAGCTTTGCTACCACTTCCAACATAAATGAAGACAGAAAACTAAACAGCAGTGGCGTTTGCAGGGTTACTGAAGTTGGACTACCTGGTATATAATGTTGTGCTACCTGATTGCTAGCGACACAGCTATGTTAGCATAACATTAGTACAGTGAAGCTGGAGGATGAACGCCAACTTTTTTCCACTCGATAAAATTTAACGTGAGGGATTCTGGTGGTCAGGGACAAATGCAATCACATAGCAGGATGCCATACACGGGCCAAACTTCAGTCAGGAGAACAACTGAGATTATTCATCCACAATACGAGGTTAGTTATTAATATACTGCAACAAGATGGGAATAGAGAGAGAATTCAACATTAATGAATCAATGTTATGGAAGTGGAGGAAGTGCAGTTTTTGCCTTTACCCATATTTCAACAGTGCTTCATCTCTTTGCTATGACTGCCGGCATAATTTGCAGATGATAATGGTTGTAGCTGCTGCAATGCTTTCCACCAAAACAGGCGCAGCTTGATGACGTCATCAACATGCACTATCGCGATAGAGCGGTATAGTCAAAATCTCTATCGTTGGCCAAATTTATATCGTTTCTATCGTATATCGTTTATATCGCCCACCCCTACTATGACTAATCACAGCAGAGAGAGGTGATTAATATCCTCCTCTTGACCTTGGTGGATAAGTGTGACTCTCCTGCTGCTGTTGTGTGTTCCCTGACATATTTCATGGTGCTATTAGTGGCTAAACAGTATTCTTTAAGAAAGGAAAACAGCTGCTCAGACACTAAGGACAGACCGCAAACACAAGTGTTCATCATCAGACAGGGAAAATTGCTGTGCTGTTGATCACATATAACTTTCAACCAATAAATAAATCACTTAAATAGAACTTAAATATGGATATTTTAAAGGAGAGAAAAAGAAACCACTATGAGATAAAGCAGTCTGACTTACCTGTATCCGCTGGCAGTTTTCACTCCAGAATGTGATGGCCTGGTCAGTTTTGTAGTCATGAACCTGTAAAAAATTAAACCAGTAAAATGTCAGAAAGATTTTCAGGCTTTTATAGGAGAGGCTGATGATGTACTTATTATTTTAGGTATTCTGCTTCTCACAGCAACTGTGTATTTCACATAACCAAAATACAAACAAGTCAAAGAGGAGGAAATAAAAGTATGGAAATTTATTTTGTAGTTTTGAAATCAGATTGTTGCTGTTTGGGGAGATTAAGCACAGACACAAACACACACAAAGTTTGTAACTCTACATACACGTGTTGTTTCAGGTTTATGAGGCACAAATCCCTCCACACAGAAATCCTTCTGGGTTGTGGAGCAGTACTCCGTTTTGGGAGTCAGTGGGTTCAGATCAGCATGAATCTTCTCACTGTGAAAACAAGAAGACAGAATCTAAGCACCAAGCAGCAGCACTTGCCTGTGATCCAGCACATACAGTTTTTGTTGATGTTTTGTTTTTTTAAGTGTAGCATGATGTAATTAAATGATTTTGTAAACAACCTATTTACTATAAAATATACTGAAAGTTGCTGCACATTGAAAGGAGCCAGCTGAAGTGGTTTGGGCATTTATGCCTCCCGTGCGCCTCCTCAGAGAGGTTTGTGAAGCCCCTGGGCAGAACCAGGACATGCTGAGGAGAGACTATGTCTCTTGGCTGGCTTGGAAATGCCTTGGCTTCCCCCAGATTAGCTAAAGGTGGAGGTGCTAGAGGGAGGTCTGGACATCTCTGCTGCCCACACAACTGAGACCCAGATAAACAGCAGAAAATGGATGGTTGGATGAATTCTAGGTCTTTCCTGAAATCAAAAATCAATCAGTGCTTCCCATCTGAGCTCCTCAGACACAGATGATTTTTTCCTATAGTGACGTGAATATATTGAAAGAAGCCACACAAAAATTTTGAGGTGGGTTGAAGATTTATGCTCTCTCTTGTTTCCCAGAAGTTCTGAAAATCATTGCATTTCAAGTACAGAGATATCCAGCAGACCTGCAATATATTTTTATGTTTTATACACAAAGCTTGCAGTCTGAACAAAGAGAGAAGTCTGAGTAACATGTCCAAGTTATCATTTAGAACATGCAAAGAACACTATTTCACAGCCATAAGCTGCACGTTAGAAAGGTATTTTGGAAACGAAATGTATGTAAGAAGCAGAACTTGTTTTAATCATCCAGTTACCCAGTTTACACCTTTTCAAGTTTTCTCAATTTTCTTAAATTTGTTTTTCCATTCATGAAATTTTCACATGGCTGCTTCATGTACTTAAGAAGAAAATTTGCCTTTAACTCCTGTGTGTAGGGCCTGCAACTCAGAAAATATTCAGAATTCATTCATAATGCTAAAGTTAGTATCATAAAAAGAAAATTAAATCAACTGCTTCTGAAAGGAGTGATTTAAAAAAATATATTATATGCAATTATCCATCTGCCTCATTTGCTATTAAGATTAGCCATCCTGGAATGATGTCTGACCATAACGTAGCACGCAAGCTGAAGCGTTGCATTCACTGGAAATAGTAAAGTCGTCTAGCCCTAGCAGGTGCAAGAAGCACTATTAGCCAGGCGCAGTCTGCTCATGCCCACACAGTCCAGCGAAGAGCTCTAATAAATGCAAACATGTGTGGGTGAGCTGATGGTGTGCAGGGCGTTTAAGGCTCCTGGTGTAAGCATCATTTATTTGCATCGTTTCACGACACTCAGTGTCTCTGTGGTATTACATATAGTATATAAAATATGTCATACTGGACTGAAATTAAACTCAAAGCTTGATACTCCGCCAATCTCCCATCTGGCTAGGATTATTTATACACAGTGTTGTGCTTTACATAACAGCCAATCAGCCAAATCATACAAAGCTATTGGACACACCATTGGTGTTTGCTTATAAAACTCAGGAAATTTAGTGTATGGTTTAAAATCAAATGATGACACACTGTCTACTACTAGTCAAAAAGTTTTCATTGAAGACATTACGCTTTACAGGCTTTTATGAGTTGTTAACTTGTGTGGGATGTTAACAACCACCTCTGCAGGGATGGACTTTATAAACCCCATAAGGGTGACTGGCCCCTGTGTAAAATAACACCATAAAGTCTGATTTAAAAGCTATCACAGCTGTGACTGAACAGTAAAACAAACCCCGACGTGTAAATATTACATCACCTTCCCCTCAAGACATGGTCAGGCAGTGCTCCTCGTTTCCATAAACAAACCACTTCCAGAAATAATTCGTTTAACATCAAAAGACTTGTTCATAGTTCATTTACCTTATCATCTGGGCAGTGTGTTTTTTAAGCAGCTCGCCTCTGATGCCTGAACCGAGGAAAATATAAAAGACAGGATGAACAGGGCATGCATAGAAAGCCATCCCCCAGAATAAAAAACTTTTTAAAATTGAAATGAGAAGAGGTCACATCAAATAATAAAACCTTTCAGCTCTTTGTAAATGCTTCTCTGTTCTTTACATGGCTCTTAATGGTATGGGTTTCAACATTTTTTTTCATTCTGGCTGGTGAAAGATAAAGACACATACCCTGTAACCTCCCCACTGGAGTCTTTGGAGCAACATAAGCTGCTTTCAGCGTAGTCACAGACTCCATCTTGGACTCCAGGTCTATTGTGAGAATCCCCTTGTGGCCATGTATGTGCTTGTGTGTCTTTGGGTCCTCTGTATGGAGATCTGCAATGGCTCTCTGAATAAAAAAAAAACAAAAAAAACCAAAAATCACAGGATTTTTTAGTCGGGTGGAAAACCATAAAAATCTACAATTTTGGATAAGTAAAAAAATGTTTTTGTACTTTTTCCAACTGTACACCATCACAGCTGATTATAAATCAGACAATCAAGACCTGACTGCAGTGCAGACTTTCAGCTTTATTTCAAATGGTTTTACAAATGTATTAAATTATCTGGTGAGGAATTACAACTATATTGATACACAATTACTGGCCAGTCCATTAGGTACACCTGTTCTTTTTAAACTGCTTTTTAATGCAACTATTGAATTAGCCAATTACATTGTAGTAACTCACTGCATTTAGACATGCAGATATGGTCAAGATGATCTGCTCAAGTTCAAATCAAGCCTCAGAATGGGGGAGAAAGGTCATTTAAGAACATGGCGTGGATGATCTGGGTATTTCAGGAACTGCCCATCTACACGAATTTTCCCACAGAACCGTCTCTAGGGTTTACAGAGAATGGTCCAAAAAAGAAAAAAATATCCAGTGAGCAGCAGTTCTCACGGGTAAAATGACTTGTTGATGCCAGAGGTCAGAGAATGGCCCGACTGGTTTGAGCTGAAGGCAACAGAAACTCAAACAACCACTTGTCATAAGCAAGGTATGCAGAAGGACATCTCTAAATACTACACAAAATAACAAACCTTGAAGCAGATGGGCTACAGCAGGAGCAGACCATACGAAGAATTAAGGCAATTCTGAAGGTAGAATTGGATCCAACTTAGTGCTAGCAGTGCTAGCAAGGTGTACCTAATTCTGTGGCCCTGAGTGACATCCGTGTTATAACATATACTTGCTGTGTCAGGGACTCTGTCTTTCAAATATGGTTACCTAGACACCAGGTGTTAGCTCCAGGTATATTAATTATTAGATTAAATTAGCAAACGTTGTTAAGAAGTCTCGCGTGAACTTTTAACATTAGCTAAACCTCGGAAATGGTTCACAGCACTCACCTCTTCGACCCAGTTATGCAACATCGGTTTTCCAACTTTATGTCCCACAGCGGCTGTCTGCTCGGTCATAACGGGAACAAAACTATGGAACTGGACTGAACGCAAGTGAATGGAGCTGCGGGTAGCTTCGGGATCGTCTTTCTAAGTTAAAGTTTACGAGCATCGCTTAGCAACAGCGTTTGTTCGACGGAAGCGTCGCCATGACAACAACAACAATGCACAACGTAGCACGTTGTAAGAAAAGGTAAACTTCCGGGTGGAATGCATTTTAAAACCTTATTTGGGGCCAACATTAGCAAACCCATGTTTTTAATCAGACTTGGCTGGTGATTCTATTTTATGAGCCAGTAGCAACTGAAATTAAATAAAATTTAGACAATGCTTTAAAACAGCTAAGATTTAAGATGGCTGTCAAATTGTGGGACTGTACGTTCCAGGTCCTAACCTGAGGTCCTCAGCCAAGGTTATCCCACAATTTCAGCTGAGAACCAAGGCTGATCCAGCTTTTTCAGTCAGTGGACCCACTCTCTGAATCAAGCTTCCTAAGAAGGCTCACTGTCATCTTTTAAATCCATCTTAAAGACATATACGCAGCTTTTTTCTGTGCCTCCACTTTGATTTACATTTATGTTCTCCATAATAATTGTTTTATCACCTTCCCCTAATTATCCTTTTTAATTCATTTTTTAATATTTGCTTTTAATTTACCTGTTTTTCCATTTCTAATTTTCTTTATTCCTTGCTCTTATCTCCATTTGTTGCCAGTATTCTTTATGTTATTTCATTCCATTTCCCATCTTGTACTGTGAAGCACTTTGTAACTTTGTTTTGAAAGGTGCCATGTATAAATAAAGTTATTATTATTCAAGTTATATATAGTCTGTCAAATATCATCCACAGTTACAGAGGAGCTAAAAAGCTTTCCTCAGAATGAAAGTGGAATAAGACATTCTTCTTCACATTCTTTCGGGTGAGCACAGAGGCAGAGCTTCTAGTCTCCAGGAGACAGCTGAGCGAGAAAGTGCTGTCCCGTGGGGTGCAATTAAAGTGAACAAAGATGACACCCCTGTCATCTGATCACCTGGTAAAACGGCTTTACAGCCATTCGCTGATTGATCCATCTACGGGTACAGCCATCCTGCTGAGCAAGGGTTGTGCTGCCATTGGAGGAACATTTCAGGTCAGAATTTTTTTCTCCCCCTCTATTGAACTCTCTTATTCTTCCATTACATAAGGCAGAGCTTGATTCAGCTGTGAACAGTGAAACAGCAACTATAAATCATCAAGTGAATATGAGAAAGTATAGTTGTATTAATATGATCCATACAGGCAGATTTTTATAAAGAAACTATATCTTTTTTAGACCGACAGACTCCAAGTGCAGCCCTTAATACTTCAATGTGTCTCAGTTCAGATACACTGTCATGTAGTACACTAGAAAGCACATACTTTCATTGTCAGTAAGGTGCTGTTGTCTCAAACTGTACATGGCATGTTGTGCATTTTTGGAAAATATAATGATTTCGGCATTTGTACGACTGATTTTTTGGAACATTTACAACCTGTTTATCCACACATCCAGAGCAATATACTTCTAGATTTAATAAACAAAGCCCAGCAGACACATGGAAAGACCAGACAAAAATCTGCTGCCGGTGGAAACTGGTAGTCCCTCCCTGCTTGCTTCAAGATAGTAGCGCTTGATCGTGAGGCCTTTTAAGTCTTCCACAATTGACAGTTTCACAATACATATTCTATGTGTCACAAACTGGCCTACACAAACATGACAGAAAGAGAGATGCACAGCAAATGACAATTAAAAACCTCTTCATTTAAAACTAAATAAACCAGGGTTGGCCAACCAGTCAGAGACCAAGAGCCACTTTTTTATTGTGTTACCGCAAATAGCCACATCATACACATGAGCACACATGGACATCACCCACCCCTTCCTCTCTCTCTCTCCCTCTCTCTCACACACACGCACAAAAAATACACACACCTCTGCTCAGCCAGATTTATTGTAAATGTCACACACCAACATGATAATGACAGAAATGGACTCCTACAGTACTAAAACCACAGGCCAGTCATTTTCTGTCATGAACCGAAGTTCAGTACGCAAGCTGGACCCAGAAGCAGAGACAACACGAGTACGAAAAATAAACTTTATTTTAACTAAAGGTGTCCCGGAAGGGTCAAAGGAAAACACGCGAGAAACTAGAAAAACCAAGGGACCGGGGGATGAGTTACGCAGGAACGCAGTAATCGGGACTGTGGGAGGCTGCAACAGAAAGAGGGAGAGAGTCACTGGGGAGCGGGGAAATAGCAGCATACGTGGGGGGAGAGTATGAGTCTTACAGTCAAAGCGGGGCCATGGGAGCCGGAGGGAGGGGTGAGGGTCCGCGGGGGAGCTCCAGGAAAGTAGAGGTGATTGGTACCGGAGGCGATCCAAACTCCAGACGGGCAGGTGGCTCAAAAACACGTCGAGCTGTTACCTGAGCGCAAAGGAAAAGATTAGCGTTTGTTCAGGTAAATGAGGGTTTTCACAACCGCCTTCCCGTGGGTGTACGTTACCGCTGTGAGACGACTAACGGACTGGCGTGGAGCAGCTGGCTGGGCTGGATCAAATAGTCCACCTGATAATCGCCTGAGATGGGATGCAGGTGTGGAGTTAACAGCCACACCCGTGGGCGTGGGCATCCCATCAGCTCCTCGGACACCGGGCTGCGGAGCATGACATTTTCAACAATGAACATTGTGTGCACTGTCTCACACACACAAACTCTCAGTTCAACCAAGTCCACAAACAAAAATATAATAATCTACAATAGCATTTTTCTTTTACTATGCATGTTCTTTAGTGGGACTTCTGGCATTCCTTGCCTTGAACACTCCTCTTCAAATTTGGCTTGTATTCCGTTGTTGTCACTCAAAGCAATTCTTTCACATGAGTGTCAGTCAGAACAGATCGATGCTTTGATTTCACATATTTTAGGGTAGAAAACACAGACTCGTGACAGTATCTTAAGAGCAGCCCATTTAACATTGGGGTATTTTTCCATTGGCACACTTTTCCAGAACTCAATGGTCCATTCCCTTAAAACAGGTTTCAATTGGTCCTCCTCATAAAGATCAATCATCTCCAACTCAGCCGCAGGTTCATCTGTGACTAGCGGGACTTTCAAACAGTCCGTCTGTGCATTAAATGGGTCGACGAGGAACGTAATCTGTGGCCTTTTCTATTGTAGATCACGGAACCAGGTCACAAAGCTTTCGTGCAAGTTTTCAACCAGCATTGCATATCTGGCTCTTTGCTTACTCAGGGCGGCGCTGGCAACTTGCCCGCTGGCTTTAAGCAGAGTGGGAAAATGCGTTAAATCTCCTTTTTGAATATGCGCCTTGGACAGCTGTAGTTTGTTGACAAACGCAAACACACTTTGCACCAGGTCAGGCAGCATTTTTAACTTACCCTGCAGGGTCAGTTTCAGTCTTTCCAAGTGACACAGATCCATAATCCATTTGAGGTCCGAGAGCTTGGGATAGTCCTTGTCCTTCTCTTCTATAAACAGTTTCACGGCATCCAAAAGCTCAAAGAAGCGTGAGAGTACCTGGCCTTTTGACAGCCATCTCACAGTGCAGTGCAGCGGCAGGTCACCTGGAAGCCCTTGGTCCAGCTCAGCGATGAGATTCTTGAATTGTGTGTGGATATAGTTGACGACTTCCATCACAGGATTTAAGACGTTATGTAAATTCATTGATTTAGACACGAGTTGCTCCATGTGGATGATGCAGTGGAAATTCCAAAACTCGGGAAATGTTTGGTCAGCTTTGCACAGCCCCACAAGCACGTTCACAGATCCCATCATGGCTGGTGCTCCATCCGTGGCTATTGCAGTTAGTTTCGTTATGGTCAGATTTGCTTTTTCAAATGCAGCCATCATGGTTTCTTTTACGTCTATGCCACGGGTTCTGTCTTTTAATGGCACAATATCCAGGAGTTCTTTGATCACGCAATTGCTTGACACAGACGATTGCCAATTGAGGCTTGTCTTGTATATCACAACTCTCATCCAATGCGACACTAAAATACTCGTGCTTGAAGGTCAGAGTGCAACTGTGTTTCAATAACCTTGTTAATGTCCGATATTCTGTGACCAACAGTGTGCCGGACAGTTGGACGTCTGATACCATGTGTTTTAGTTTGTCGTTTTCAGGAGACAAGATTTCAACAACATCACTGAGGCATTTTTTTAACAAACTCCGCTTCATTGTATGGGTTTTTAGCCCTTGCAATGTTCCAAGCCAGCTGATAGGAGCGTTATGGTCTCTAAGCGCTTCGTAAACTTTGGGAAAAACTGTATCTGCTTTTCTGCCTGACTTTTCAAAATGGCCAACTCGTGCTTGCAAAGTTCAGTCCCTTTTGGTAATCCCTGGTTAATGTTAGCATGGAGTGAGCTTTGAAGCTTTGAAATGCGCTAATTACATCTGACATATGAGACATGGCTTGCCATTGCGTTTAACAAAAATATATAAACTCTCCCACTCTGTTTAAAACGTCCTGTATTCATCTTCATGGTTTCGTTTTGCTGTGCATTTTTTCCCTGCCATTTTAAGGGTGAACTTGCCCCTACTGGGAAACTTTGCGGTATTTTCATCTCACCCACATGCGCATTTGATGAAAATGCCATATTGAATTCAAGCAAAGTGAACACGCACATTTTAAAACAACATCAACAACAAAAAACCCTCCAAAACGCAAACACAAACTTTGATATGTACGTAAGAGCCGCATGAAAGTAGGCAAAGAGCCGCATGCGGCTCAGGAGCCGCGGGTTGGCCACCTCTATGCTAGGCTGTCACAGAGGTAGTCATACATGAGAGAGCAACATTTCTTTAATAAATATGTTAACAATCAGACAGTTTAACACTGCTGGCTTTAACATTTCTGAGTATTTATCCCTCTGGGGAGAAAAGTGAGAGAAAGGAAACAGAGAAAGAAGAAAATGACAATGACATTATTTAAACAGAAGCATCAGATGAGCCTTCAGCTGTTCGGTGAGGTTAGGTTATGTCATATGGAAACCACAGGTATTATCAGATGTGTGGCATTCGACTTATTCTACGCCAGGTTGAGTTATATCCCATTCATTATGTCATTAGCATTACCAGACAGAATTTCTGTATAGTATTCTCCTTTAAGAGCTTTACTTTATGCACCC